CTCCATTAACGCGAGTAGTGGTGAAATACCTCGATAGCATCGTTAATGTGGTCTGTAGGATCTGTAGCGGTCGCCATTGTTGCTATCCTCACCAGTTACCCACCGGCGTACAGCTTGACATCAGCATGGCGCTGATTGGCTAATCTCTAGACCCGCCCCCACCCCTGGCGTTCATTGGTCTGTCCATCGTTTGGACGAGATAAATCGCAAATTCATTGCAGTATGCCAGATCAGAGATGCAAGCCTACTCAGCTGAGTGGGCGGGGTCTATGGTCTGGAACCAGGCTACTAGAATCTAGCACTCTTTGGGTATGCGAAAGCGGTGCAGTTCGGATTAGCCTAATATACTCGACAAAGACGTTGCTAAAATGCTAGCTAGCTAAGGGGCGAATTCACAGAGTGGATTGCGGCTGCTGATAGCGACCGCTATCTGTACCGTCTCAAGGTCCGATTTACAAAAGATATTGCGCTAATGATATTGAGTCCCTGTCCTTAAGGAGCTATCAAGCCAGCATCCCAGAGATACTATCTCTAACAGATATGACGGCACAAATACGCCCATAAAGTTTTGCAATTGAGTGCAATTTGCCCTTGTTTTGCGATTGAGTGAGCGGAGTGGTTTCCAGTGTTTCGGGCTTTTCTCCACATTTCAGCACACAGATTGCTTCATAATGAAAACTGCAGGGAGCACAAAAGCCTCAAATTGTGTGTCTTTAATTAACGGAGGTGCGCACACACAGAGCTCTCCACAGTCACAAACCAGNCATAATGAAAACTGCAGGGAGCACAAAAGCCTCAAATTGTGTGTCTTTAATTAACGGAGGTGCGCACACACAGAGCTCTCCACAGTCACAAACCAGCTTTCATCTATTTTGCTTCTTTTAACTTACTTCTCTAGTATTTCGCATCTATAACATAATCTACTGAAATGTCCATTAAAATAGGCTACAGCTATTAATGTGACTCAGGCAGGTCTGAAACATGTTAGATTAAAGTCTGAGTCTCACTTTAATGTAGTTCAGGTGTCACTGAATGTATCCAGGATTTCGCAGAAACATCACTACTGATGTTCTGTTTGTTGTCAACAGCTGGCCGTGTGTCACAGCAACATTATACAGCAGCTGAAACGATAAGTGCGTCTCCATACTGAGAAGGAGGATGTGCGCATTTACGCACATGGCACAGCAGTGGTAACTTCTTTATCACCTTCTATATCACCAGCTGTCGGTCGGCTTTAACAGCTGTAGCGACTTTTGATGGAGTTTGTGTCTGCATATATGTGCACTGTGTTAATACTAAAAGTGAACAGTTATCACTGCCAGAGCAGCAGTGTTTCCTCTCTGCAGCCTGTTACCTGTTTGACAAACACCTGCACATGAATAAAAACCTGCATTCTGTATTTACACTGTGTCCTGGGTCCTGCTTGGAGGCACAGGATCCATTTCTACTAGCAGAATGCGTTTATATTATCTATTAATTTTTTTAGTCTGTCTTTATTGATATTCTGATTGTGAATTCATTATTTAATAACCCAGAATATGATTAGAGTGTCTGAGAGTGTTTGAACACTTGAAATTATTTCTTAGGCAAAATGTTTCAATGAAAATGGAAATTATGTAACTCATATCAAACCTGACGCTCAGGATTTTTCAGTCTCACATGTGATAAATGTGATAAACAATGTAAATGTAAATGTATTTAAAATGCTGCTGTCAGACAGACTCTCCCTTACTTTAATTTTATCCATAATAACAATTAATGGGGGAAACAACAGATCATGAAAAGAAAAATCTTTCTAATAAATGAAGAAAGTTGTTTATGGTTCTTTTTGTTGATCAGACAAACAATTGACAGATTTTTAACTAGATGATGAATCAGAAAACAAATAAAATGTAAATCTTGGGAGTGATACACTTGAGTTTAATCTGTAATCTGTCTCCACTTCAGTATAAAACTGCAGTGATGTTGTGAAGTAGCAGAGCAATCCATTCAGCTGCAGCGTCTAATCAATAACTGATATCCAGTAAGAGGGCTTGACAGCCAGTAAAAGACTTAATCCAAACAAGTGAAAAATAAAAAGTTGGAAATCATTTTTAAAATGACAAAAAGTTGGAAATCATTTTTTTTCCATATAAATACATAAAAACAAGACCTAACATAGCTTTATTTTTTTCTTGATGCAGATGGGGAACTTTTTAATGGACAGAGGAAGGCTGTGAGGACAAAGGCAGAGTGCAAAACCCTGTTTTGTGAATTCCATAGCAGCCCTGTTGGAGGCCACAGCGGGATTTTTAAAACAAGAAATGCTTTGTCCAGTCGATTCTACTGGCCAGGAATCTCTACTGACATTGAGAAATGGGTCAGTAACCAATGCCCTGCTGTCCTGATTAGCTGTTCATCTATTAGTTTTAATAATCAAATGTAACTGTTACTACTTCAATTAGTTTTCTAACTCTCACTCCATAACCATTTACATTTTTCCATTAAACTGTTCACTCTTCTTAATGGTTACCCTCAACAAACCCACTATTTTTTTTTCTTTATTTTTCTAGGTCAGTGAATGTGATCAGTGCCAAAGGGTTGGTAAACCACTTGTGATTGATGCTAAACTGGAAAGTATTAAGGTAAATGAGCTTTTTGGTTTACGTGAGTTACTGAAGAATTTAAAAAAGAAAAATCATTAATCAGGGTATATAAACATTTTACTCTCTGGCAAATTGAAAAACATATAACCCCAAGTCCTTCTAAATCACCACAAACAGGAGTTTATACTGTACTGTACATCCAATTCTGTTTTTGTTAGGTTTCATCAGTCTGTGAATTGCTTGGTATTGACCTCACAGGACCACTTCTGAAGACATCTGATGGCCATATTTACATTTTGACAGCCACAGGTTATTTCTCCACATGGGTGAAAGCATTCCCATTAAAAACTAAAACTGCTCAGGAAGTAGCTAGAAACCTTGTTTCTATCATTTACAGGCACAGTTGCCCAGTCAGAATTCTCTCTGACCAAGGAAGAGAGTTTGTTAATGAGTCTTTGACAACAAATATATACATTAATTCTTTTGGTATATGAGGCCAATATCCAACTTTTGCTCTCCAAACAAAAGCTCTGCCCCTCTCTTAATCAGGGCTGTGCAGTAATTTATGTTTAATCATTCATTTCTTCAGTCCTACTATGTATACTGTAAAATCAATTGTGATGAATGTTGTGATATGAATTAATTCTGTATTGCGCAGCCCTACTGGAAATGCTATTTCAACATTGTGTTGCAGTTCTTAATTCTGGACTATTGGCTGGCTGTTTAATAATATAACATATTTATTAATTCATTTTAGATTAACAGCTCTCTTTGTGACCTGCTGTCCATAAAACGGAGTGTGACAGCTGCTTATCATCCACAGACAAACGGTCTGGATGAAAAAACAAATGACAATATAAAGAGGTAATTAGTGTATATGTTACTTGCGCTGTTGTGTATCCATCTTATCTTATGATGGATACACAATGAGTGTTCATTGTTTATTACAGTTCTGTTTTAAGGGCCCTCAGAAAGCTTGTCAATACCCATCAAAATGATTGGAATGTCTTCTTGGATGCAACTTTGTTCTCCCTGAGATCAAAGATTCATACATCAACAAAGTACAGTCCGTTCATGTTAAAAGTAGACTTCTCTGGACCATACACTATTCACAACATATCAGGGAAGAAAGTGTCACTGACAAACCAGGATGGTCATTTACTGAAAACTACATACAACATAAATAACCTAAAACCATACAAGAGAAGCCACTTAAAGGAAGACATCACAGAAACATCACAACTGACAGCAGAAATTCTTCCTGTCAGTGGATCGCCTTTTGAAGCCAGAGACCAAATGTCAGATGTGCCTTCTAGACCATCAGTTATCAAGTGGATTCAATCTAAAGTAAGCCAGAGGAAGACAGAAGAAGTTGAAAGGGAAAGAGATACAAGCAGAAAAGAAAAAGAAGGCCAGGAAAAGAGAACAGAGGAAGATGGAAGGAAAGGAGATGGAAGCAGAAAAGAAGGTCAGGAAAAGGGAACAGAGGAGGTCGGAAGGAAAGGAGATGCAAGCAGAAAAGAAGAAGGTCAGGAAAAGAGAACAGAGGAAGTTGGAAGGAAAGGAGATGGAAGCAGAAAAGAAGAAGAAGTTCAGGAAAAGAAAAGAGGAAGTTGGAAGGGAAAGAAATGAAAGAAAGAGTATGTTATTCAGCATTATATAATGTAATGTTAAAATATGCTCATAAGAACAGTCGATTTTTTGTTATGTTACAGACTAGATTTCGGTGCAAATATTACTTGGAATACTTTTAAAACTTAAACCAGTATTTAGTGCAAGATGTTGATTTTGGGGTTTTACTATGCAAGTCTTTTTTCCCCAAGTCTTACAGATTTGGTCAGAAGAGGCAGTTATCAGGGTTGAAGCTGTGGTGGGACCATACAAACTATATGATTCATCGTTAAAGACACTTAAAGGGATGAATTGGCTTTCAGATGAGGTAGGACTCACAAATAAATACAAATACAAATAAATATAAATTAAATACTCGTGTTTAATTTATTCACTATTGGATGCAGGTGATTGACAGTTACCTTCACATCCTTGCAGAAGAACAGAAGGTAAATGTCAAGTATTATATTTTTCTGAATGTTTATTCTTTTGTGTAGATAAAACTTACTTTCATTAATATCACGAGATTTGTACAATATATTTTAGTTGTTGTAAATTCATAGATTAAGTAGGTTGATGTTTTACTCTTCTATAGGACCACATATTTGTGCTGTCTTCGGTTGTGTCAACATCTCTGTTTAATGGACAGTTTAGATGTGTGAGGAAGGTGAGCATATACAGTGAAACTTATGAGCTACACTTATTTCATTCATTGAAACAATATATTGCTACAAACTGTGGTGTAAACACTTTTCTTTTATAGATGATCATCCCAAACAGGGATTTGTGGCTGTGTCCATACAACACAGGAGGGCATTGGATTCTTGTGGTCTGTAAATCTAACAATATTCATATATTTAACAATATTCCACATAAATATGCAACTAAAACAGATAAACTGCAATGAGTTACAGATTGTGAAAATGTCAGGAAAGGCCCTACTTGTTATTGACCCCTTAAGCAATGAGCAGAGATACAGCAGGAGAATCTTGAGAAACTGGAGGTAATTATTTAAATGTTTTAGCTCAGTACACACAAGTGCTGTCAGGAAAGTCCCAGTGACTTTCTATTTTATGTGAGGCATTGAGTTATGAAATGCAAAATATAAACTGTTTGCCTTTTCCTTTGCCTTTTCCATACTGAACTAATGCTAAACCCTGTAAACTTACACCTGGGACACACAGCCTGCGTGAGCAGTGCATGTGCATTGCGGAACCTCTTGCTTTTCATTTCGGCGCCCATGTTAACAGGTTAGAGCAGCCACGCAGCCCGTCTCACACGTGGCTGCTGCGTCATCTAGAGATCCGAGGTCTTGCCTATTTTCTCTGCGTGACACGCGCGGTTCTCAGCAGAAATAGACAGAAAACGATCTGTTGATAGTCATATTAACATCATATCAGCAACATAACACCTTTAACTGTGGTTTCAATGTCTGCATCTGTAGAATATGTCACAGACATAAAGTGTCACCACTGCGGGTCAGCCTGCATGGTGCACGCCAGGGCAGGGAGCCTCTCTGGCGGGGAACTCCAATACAGAGAGTCAGTGACACACGGAGCTTCAGCAATATCATCAATAATAAAAACGTCCTTTTTGAGGAGTGTATGTGGCTGACAGAAGTAGCCCCAACCAAACCCCATCATGCCCATCAGAAAGAAAGCCGCTATCACCTCACATAGTTTATTTATTTTTTAACAACTGAGCACATGCTTCTAAATCATTTTCTGACTAAACTAAATATAAATGAAATTTATAATTAAATAATATGAAATGTGCTATTATTGATGGCCATTATCAAAGCCAAACTCTAAGTAGAAAGATAGAGCTGGCAGCAGAAGCGCCGCAGCAGCAACGCTGTCTGTGGACGCTGCAAGTGTGCGAGACGCAGCAGTTCAGCGACGCACACGCACTGCTGAGGTTCACACAGGCTGTCTGTCCCAGGCCTAAGTCATACAGTTAAAAAAAAAAAAAAAAACTACAAAAACACTGTAAAGTTCTATATTATACTACCAAATGGTTGTTTTAATTATGTCATCTAATCGTTGTGTTTTGCTCACTTTTTTCTACTAATTGTAATGTTAAATGTTTTTAGGAATTTCTTAAGGATGAGAGAGCACCAATCAAGCAGCGCATCATGGACAGTAGAAACACTGGGGCATGAGCTGCAGGTGAATGGGAGTAGCTGTGGAGTCCTTATTTTAAAAGTAAGACTGACAATTTAGAAATAATTAATATGTTAGGTGTATGATAATGCTATATACAGTGTTTACTAAGTCTGGAGTGGTGCATTTTTTCAGTTTGTGGAAGAATACCTTCAGTCTGGATCGATCTTTGATGTGAAGACCGATCCTGCATCTGTGCAGGCTGCCAGACTACACATTGCCTGCAAACTCATTGAAAATGGTGGTGGGTCCTCAACCTTACAGGATATTTCAACATTGTTTATTTTTTTTTTATATTTTCTGATACTGGAGATAAGGTGTAATGGACTTACTAAGTCTCTTGTATTTTTCAAACAGGCAGTGTTGAAGACTACTGCATAGAATGCAACATGATCAACCCTGACACAGACAGTGACAATGTCAGCATGGTATAAATATAAATTCTGAAAATTTATAGAAATAACAAGATTTATTGATGCTTCTAGTCATAGAGGATAATACAGGGTTCCAAATGCATTTAAGTCCACTGTTACATGTAACGCATCACATGAAATTGACAGTATGATGGTCATTTCTGTCCCTGTAAACGGTTGGTAATATGAAATATTATGAACTAGTACTCTCAGTCTTCTATCCTCTATTGAGAAATGTCTGACCACTATTATTCTCCTCAGGTGCAGTGCGATATTTGTCTCCGATGGGCACATCATGACTGTCTGAAATCTGTTCCTGCAAATGGAAACTTACATTTGCTTGAAGTGCAAAGAATAAAGAAAAAAAGGAAGAAATTAAGTGATAATGTGTTTGTGTGTACATGTATTGGGTGCCTATTATAAGCTACTCTCCTTTTGAACATAATTATAGTAGTCCATTCTGATAGATATTTCCTACCTGACAGAATGAGCTACTCTACTTATAA